TTCCGGTAAACCTCATTTATTTTTTGTGTTGTTGTTCTCTTTCCCTTTCTGATTTCTAGTGGATTTCCCATTCTTCTAGGGGGGGCGTATGTCAGGTCCCCAAATCCTCATTGTTTTCCCTGCATATATATTCTACTTTTGGGACCTGCCATTCTGCTGGGAGGAGGGGGAGCTTACTCTCTTTTGGGATAATTTTTGCTTTCTACTCTCTCCTCCTGCCTCTATTCCCTTGAGAAAGGAATGTGTCTCCCTTAACAGGGAGATGGTTATAGAGAAACGAAACTGGAAAAGACATTGAGATGTGCGCCAACTGTGCCAGTTACCCGCTCATCAGACCACCTGTGGATTGGCTGGATTTCAAATGGACATTATGACTTTGATGGGAGGAGGAATATTGCTAGCTTAACTATACTGTTTGCACGGGATTTTCCCCAGATCTCACCTTCATTTCCCTACTGTCACTGACCCCTAATAAAAGTATCCTTTTGAGACAATGCCTGTTTCAAGAGTTCTGCTTTCTTGGGTGGTTAGTTGAAGTGGGTCCTTACAATCAGACTAGAAACCAGGAGACTGAATTCTAGTGCAGTCTTAGGCACATACTGGGCCAATCACTTTCTCCCAACCCTAGGAAGGAAGCAATGGCAAACCATTTCTAAAAAAAAAACCTTGCTAGGAAAATTGCAGGCAGTTCAGTCAATCTCTGAGAATTAAATACAACTGAATGAAAAAAAAAAATTTTTTGCAGAACTATTTAAAAGTAGTTATATTCAGTGTGTTCTGCAATGGCTGCTTGCCTGCTAGGAAAGTGAATCTGATTCTTACTATTGCATCACCTGTTTAAGAGCAATCAAGTGTTCAGCAATTGATTGCCTTTTCTTTAATCATCTTTGTGTATTGCAACGGAGAGGAAAGCAAACATGGGCTTTTGTGAGCAAGTATGTGTATCTAGTCTTAATATCTGTGATACCCAGAGTGTGAAAAAAAAGGGGGTGAGGGAGTGTATCCATCTATAACAAGGTTGTCAAATTTGCTACGTCACGTGATATGTCATGACATATCACGACTTTTTTTGCATTGCCGGAGCTGGGGTGGGCGTGGCATCCATATGATGCAACCAGTCTGCGGGCCGGCAGTTTGATAACCCAATCTATAATTTTGCAGATCTTCCTGTCTATTTTCAGAATTAATCTTTCCAATCAATAAAACCTTCCATTTTATTGAATAACTTTTACTGAAGAAGGAAGAAGGAAGACTGAGATTTTCAGATTAATCTATTTATTGCACCAATAGGCTTCTTTGCATTCAAATAAAAGCCTGGTATTAAAGCTTGCTTCTTAAAAAATTCTGCCCAAAGCCGTGTTAGCCTAGGACACCAAAGCCCTGCCGAAAAAAGTGGAGTGCATGTGCACACCTGCCTTGCCCATATCAGCCAGGGTCTCCATGGCGTGCTGCAACTGATCAGAGGCAGCCAGCCAGGCACCGAAGCACCGCCAAAAACAGCAGAGTCTCTGTGCGCGCCTCCTACGCGCTCACCTGTCAGCTGTGCTCTCCACATCTCGGATCAGCTGCAGTGCACCAAGGAGAGCAAGGCTGATGCGGGCTAGGCAGGCATGCACACAGACTCCGCTGTTTTCAACGATGCTTTGGTGCCTGGCTGGCCGGCTCCAATCAGCTACAGTGTGCCATAGAGAGCCTGGCTGACATAGGGTAAGCGTGAGGAAGGCACGCACATGAACTCCGCTTTTTTTGGTGGGGCTTCAGTGCCTGGCTGGCTCGGCCAATTTCCCTCTTTTCTTCTCCCCGTTCCTCCTCCTCTTTTGACAGCAGTGGGGTTTAGGGGATGATCAATCCCTATTCGTGGCGTGGCTGCCAACCAATCACCGTGCCCTCCTCTCAGGAGGGCAACATCAGCTGCCAATGCAGCAGCAGGAAATGCAGAAGGCAATGCTACCCACCAGACCAGCCTGGCAGCACAAGAACTGCAGTTCTCCTCAACTTCAGGAAGCCTGTGCAATGGAAACATGACGGTGGGGGCCGTGGGGCACTCGCTGAGGGAGCTGCTGCCGGTAATGGAGCCAGGGAAATGGGCCAGGTGGGGGGAGCTGCCAGTGTCACTGCCAAGAGGCTTGGCAGATTCCCCCCCCCTCAAGCAGCCATGATCCCCCCTCCCCAGGCAGCCAGCCACCATCTCGTGACCTACTCTGTAACACCTCTCCTGCGTGAGCTGCACTGGCTGCCTGTGGCCTTCCGGGTGCGCTTCAAGGTGTTAGTAACAACCTTTAAAGTGCTCCATGGCAATGGACCTAGGTATTTGCAAGACCGTCTCCTACCAAATACCTCCCTTCGACCAGTCCGCTCCCACAGAGAGGGCTCCTTAGGGTGCCGTCGGCCAGTCAATGCCGGCTGGCGACCCCCAGGGGGAGAGCCTTCTCTATGGCAGCTCCTGCCCTCTGGAATGACCTACCCCCCGACCTACGTACAACTGCGGACCTGCGCCTTTTTCGCCGAGCCCTGAAAACCCATCTATTTCGTGCGGCCTGGCGTAGTCTTAATTAGGTTTTAGTATAGGTTTTATATGGGGTATTTTAGAGCAGGCCTTTATTTATTTAATTTGATTTTAGAATAGATATTTATTGTGATTTTTATTATCGTCTGTTCACTGCCCTGAGTCCCGTAAGGGAGATAGGGCGGTATACAAATCTAAATAAACATAAACATAAATAAACATAAACTCCTTGCTGGCCGGCCAACTGGCACAAAACCTCACCACTCTTCTCCTCCTCCTCGTCCCCACTCAAGCGGCTTGGGTGCCTCAGCTCCATCTGAGTTGAAAGCTGAGGTGCAGCAGCAGGATTGCTCTCAAACAATAAGATTCGGGTGCGCTGGTCACTCATGTGCGCCCCTTATTGAGAGCAATCCCGCTGCTGCGCCTTTGCTTTCTTCAACTCAGACGAAGCCGAGGCACCCAAGCCACTGGGTGCCGCTTGAGTGGGGAGGACAAGGAGAAGAAGAGTGGTGAGGTTTTATGCCAGCCAGCCAGCCAGCCAGCCAGGCAATGCAATCTGGCAGCAAAAAAAACCCAATCCCACATAAGGTGGAGGATTTTCACTGCCAAACTTCTTTAAAGTTTACTTGATGCAGAATGCGGATCCTTCCAATTCTGCATCAAGTTAAACAGTCTGGCAGCAAAAAGCTAAGGGGAGCAGAGAAAAAAAATCCAGATCCCACGTAAGGTGGAAGATTTTCACTGCCAGACTCTTTACCCCATCGCTTCCAAATGCCACGTGCTCGCTACTCTGGCGAACTCTGCTGGGGCAATGGCACGTGTGCCCACAGAGAGGGCTCTGAGTGCCGCCTCTGGAATGTGTGCCATAGGTTCGCTACCACTGTTCTAGGTTATAGAATAATTGGTGCCGATGTATTTCTGCTGATTACAGCTAGATTTTCTTTAAATGTCTATTAATGTCTGAGCAAAACCACTTCACATGTTTGCATGTTCATCTATACCAAAGTCTGCCTCCTTAGAAATATCAGAAAGCAGATTGATATTCATAGTTAGCATATCATTGAGAAGTAGGACTATGTTTAAAAACTATGTCCGTTGCGTATGCTATCAATGAGACAGAACTCTTCAGTGGTTTAGGCTGCTAATTTATGCCATTTGTAACTGAACATTCTTGTTTTAAAGTGTATGCAATTACAGTGGTGAATTATTTCATAATATAACATTAGACATAAAGCAACTTATAATAAGTTATTATAAGTCATTACAGCTTTCAATTTTTCTTCTATTTCCTTCAGTCCTGATGGCCAACCAACATTGCTTCCACCTGAGCATGTGCAAGAGCTAAATTTGAGGTCAACAGGCATGCTTAATGCTATCCAAAGGTTTTTTGTATATCATATGATTGAGACCTATGGCTGTGATTATTCCACAAGTGGACTTTCATTTGACACATTACATTCTAAACTAAAGTCATTTCTTGAACTTCGGACATCAGATGGACCTAGGCATGATACTTATATATTATACTATAGTGGACATTCTCACAGCTCTGGGGAGTGGGCACTAGCAGGTAAATATTGAATATTTATCAAATTTATATATTGCCCATCTCACTGTTTAAGTGACTCTCAGCCATTTACAAGTAAAAAATGTATAATACCCCTAAAATCTCAACAAAAATAGATGAAGTTAAAAAGATGGAGAGAGTGCACTCAAGCCACCAACCACCCCTGGGGTTGTGTGCCACTCTTGGATCCCCATGCCAGTTGACAAAGCCAGGCCTTAATATTTTTCGGGAATATTGTTTTTCTTTCATTTATACTATCCAGCCATGCCCACCCGGTAGGTCACACCCCCCCACCCCCCACCCCGAGGGCACCACAATGCTGATGCAGCCTGGCACTTTGTGATAAATACGTGGGCTTTAGGTTTTGGGCACTCGGTCTCTAAAAGGTTTGGCATCACTGGTCTAGAGTTATCAAGAATCAGTCTGATAGCACTTTTAAGGTGCAGAAATTGTATTAAATGCATAAGCTTTTATCAGCTGTTTCTATTATAAGCAGGGTGACCATTTTTATTGAAAAAACAAAAACCTGAAAAAGGGACAGAGGTTAAAAAACTTTGCTTTACAGAGGAAAATTCAAGAAGAAGAACGATAACACAGATGATTACATTAAATCTAAAGGCAGTTTTCTGAAATAAAAGATGTATGGTTGCTTTAATTTTTAAAGCAGATGCTTCCACAATCTCTGAAGTGAGCCGTAACTTACGACAGCTTAAGCCTTGCAATGAAAGGCGTTAACCTTAAAAGGCTCTATAAGACCTTTGGGTACAGCTGGTCCACTCTGAAACTTAGACTCAAAAAGGAAAGGCTTTCAGGCGTGAAGACTACATTTCCCAACAGACACCGGGAACCCAGTGATCACATGATTCTTCCTATTCGCAAACCTACCCTGCCGGCCATGTCATAGAAACCGCGGCCGCCGCCCCCTTCTGGGGAAACGGAAGGTGTGGGGTTGCGGAGCGCTAGTTCTAACACCATGGAGGTTGAATGCGGGACACCTATCCTGTTTTTGCCTCAGCCCCGAGAACAAGAGCGGAAACTGCAGCAGGAGAAGCTCTCCGGGGTGGTGAAGAGCGTTCATCGGCGCCTGCGCAAGAAATACCGGGAAGGTAATAAGGTTCGGGTCTTAATTTGCCCCCTTCACCCCGCAGAGAAGGGGGGCTTCACCGTGGGATGAGTAAAAACGAAGATCAGGACCGGGTTCGCCCTCTTGCCTTGGCTCCAAATCGCTTTGGAAGGAATTTGGGCCTGGGCACCGCCCCCCTTTCTTCTCTCAGTCCTGGGACCGAAGCCTAGGCAAAGAAGGAGGAGGAGGACGATGGGCCCTCAGCCTATGCGGGGGAGGAAGGGGGCTACGCCCCCTCCCGTGTAAATGTGGAAAACGGTAAAAGAAAAACTCCATTACCTTTGAAGGTAGGGAGGACGTTATAGTTAAAAAATTTCCGGAAAACCAACCATTGGATTTGGGTCGGTCAGAATTTATTAAAGAGAAGGGCTTCACATTTCAAAGTTAAGTGATTTTCATTCTATGAAATGCCTTAGTCTAAAGCACACCTTTCCTTCTTTTTTTGTAAAGAGTGGCATTAACCGCAATTAGTGAACTTTTTTAAAAAGAACTACCTGGCTAATTTTAGTAGGAGATTCTTTTTTTTTTATAATAACAAATTTTATTGGTTTTTTTAACTTTTACAACAGAATGCTCAAGACACACCGTGGTGGTTAGGTGATCAATCATCCAAAAACAAAATCATATAATAGCTCAAGTAAATACATTAAATGTTCCCTCTCTATTTCCCTCAAATAATATAACCTATTTAACATAATCCATTTCTACATTACATATCTATAAATCCTAATCCTGTTTTGAGCTTTATTAATTTACAATTACCACAGTCCAATTTAATCTTAGATAAACATATTATCACTTAGGGTATCCCTTCTAAAACACTAATCCAGATATATTCTAATTCATAATCTCATAAATCATTGATTTTATCACAGATCTCTCATATTACTTCAAATAGCATTTAAATCTCATTCAAATAATTATATCTAAAAAAAATAAAAACACACCTATTATTACACAAAACATTGTCTTGGTAACTTAACACACTCAATTAGTTGTTAAAGGTATCCGAATTTCTAAAAGCCTCTTTCATATTCTTATTCTCATTCCATTACAAAATAATTTTCATACAAATAAACATATTATTCGAAAAAATACATTCCTACTCTATTTAACATATATATTCTAATAATCACAAATTTTCAACTCTAAATCTTAATCCTTAAATCAATCCATATTTCTCAAAACCTTTTTAATCCATTACATATAATTTTAAATTTCTCTTTTTAGTCTTATTCTGGCTTTCTTCCTATGCCAAGCAGGCTTCCATAACAAAGCCTCTATTTCAGCAAATAAATCTCCTATTATTGCTTGTAATATCATTTGGGTCAGTAAAAGACCTCCCATCCTCTGTTTTTGATGGCTGGTTCCTGTCTGCTGGATAAAACACTCGATCATGTCCAATTTTATAATTAATAGTTGATTATCAAAGTTGTCATAATTCTCCAACAGTTGTAATTTCAAGTCCATTTCTGTTAGTTTTGCAATTGTAGATAGTTTAGTTACAATCATTTTTTGGTCATCCAAAGTCTCCATAGGTTGTATGTAAATTAATTCCTCTTCCGTTGCTTTTTGGTCTATAGAATGATCAAATAGAGTCTGAAGGTCAGTTTGTAAATTCACAGTAGAATTTCTGTTTATTATTTCTGCAGTTCTCTCTCTTATTTGGGAACATATTTCCTCAATAGCTTCATAATTTTTTTCCAGTATGAGTTTACAGTTGAGTTGTGAATATGATTTCTCCATTTCGATAGTAACACAAACAGTTAAATTTCTCCACAAGATGTCCTCAGTAAACTATGAAAGTCTCTTCCAGACATCAAGGATGAGATTAGCAGAGTCAAAGAGCTATAGAGTCTCTTTTCCGGCTTCTCATAGAGGAGTTGTTTTTTTTCAAACAATAAAGATTTATCCCTTTAAAAAAGTAAGTCCAAGACATAGGAAAACACTATTCTCCATCTTAGAAGATATAATAATAAAATTTTATGATAGGGATTTTTCCAGGGCCCCCAAGTAACCAAAAATAAAAATAGTCAATAAGAAGTTTTTTTCTTTGTTATGGAAAGCTCTTTTCCCCAGGTAAACAAAGGCAGCTCTTTCAAAGCAGGGAAGTAATTCCAAAAGGCTTTTGACAGGAGAGTAGTTAGGCAGAAAGAGAGAGGGAAAAGTCTCACTAGGATCATCCAGGATGGTTTCTTAACGCTTAGATGTTCTTTTGACTTTCAGCTGGAGCAGCTAAATAATCGGCCATGTTACTGGCCGATCTTTCTCTCTGTCGGCCCTGAGGAGCTGCCTTGGACCACGGAAGGAGTTGCCTCCTTCCCCCGCAATCAAGGAGAGTCCTCCTTATCGGTAGTCACCCCTCCAGGGTGACTTTTCGACCCGATTGAGGGTCTACCGGCAGAGGAAAAGCAGGCAATGAAGAGAGAGAGCCTCTTCGTATGCCTGCACCCACTGCAACCCAAACAGGAAGTCAGTAGGAGGTTCTTTTATAGGTTGCAAAATCAGAGTGTGGTACTCTTTCTGAAAAAAAGCAATGATGCAAAGATCTGGAAAGAGATTTGCTCGGAATTTAAAAACTTGATTCAAGAGCATGTATATAAATAAGATTATTAGGTTTCAACATAGGGGTTCAGATTTCATTGTGATAATCCTCTTTGGTTTATTTTAGCTGTCAATGGGATTGAGAGTGTAACACCTATCCCACGGGTCGGCAACCCGCGGCTCCGGAGCCGCATGCGGCTCTTTCAGCCATCTCCTGCGGCTCCCAGCCACGTGCAGTGCCAAAAAAAAAAGGACTCAAAAAGTTGAAACAATCAATTCAAACTTCTCATGAAAGAAGTTTGAATTGATTGGTTCAACTTCTTTGGTTTGTAGGACGCTGTTTGCCATGGGCTCAACATAGACGGCGGGGGGGGGGGAAAGACAGCTCCGGAGGGAGACAGCCCTGTAGTAAGAAGCTGGCGGTCCGAGCGGAGCGGCATGGAAGACCTACCGGTCAGCGTGGGAAGCTCCAGTGTGGCCGGTGAGCAAGGCTTGGCCTCCGCGGCCCAGTTCCGCACCCCGATAACCAGCTGGATTGGCTTTCACGGCTCCAGCCTGGGGACGCCAGCAGCATAGAAAGCGGTTTGGCGACGCTGCCGTGGGCGGGGTGTCCTTGCAGCGGACAACTTGGGCCCAGATATTTCCTGCGGCTCGGGACCGGAGACACCGGTGGCGCACGGCCCGGACTGTCTGCGTTGCCATGGGACCACCCCCCTGCGGTGCCAGCTAATGCGGCATGTTTCCAGCAGCGAAAAAGGGGCCTGAGCGGCGGCAGAACAAGACGCTGGGCAGCACGGTCTTGATAAGCAACAAGCCAAGGCCCCGCATCCCTCCTGCCGCCGCTTAGTTCGTGCTGCCCAGCGTCTTGCAATCGGTTGGAGAAAACAGATGGATAGGATTGCAGCCAACGATAGTAGGATGTTAGAGCCGCCAACTCTGGTCTCCACCCAGGCGGGCAGGTGAGCGAAACCCCGAAACCTTTTGTGTTCCTTTGCAAAGAGAAGATGCCGGTGGCGCATGGCCCGGGGGAGGGAAAGACAGCTCCGGAGGGAGGCAGCCCCGCAGCCAGAAGCCGGTGGTCCCAGTGGAGCGGCACGGAAGACCTACTGGTTGGTGTGGGAGGCTCCAGCGTTGCCGGTGAGCAAGGCCTGGCGTCCGCAGCCCAGTTCCGCACCCCGACGACCAGCTGGACCGGCTTTCACTGCTTCTTTGCAAACGAACGCAAAAGGTTTCGGGGTTTTGCTCGCCGCTTAGTTCGTGCTGCCCAGTATCTGCCTGCCTGCCTGCCTGCTTGCAGGCCTCCGTGCTCCTTCCCCGAAGCATGCAATTGCTCAGAGCCCATCCCAAAAGGTGCTGCTTCCCTGGCAGGAGCCGAGTTTGCAAGCCTCGTTGGCAAGCCGGGAAAACCGAAGGTCCGGAGGGTTCCCTCCTGCTGCGGAGCTGCAGTGCCTGGCTGTGGGGGAGGGATGGGGGGTATCCGGGGCCTAAAAAGTCCTCCAGGACAGGCTCGGGGCCGGCCCTCTTTCCCCAGGTGCAGGAGAAGGGGAGGCGCAGGCTCTCCACCTGGGCGGGCAGGCAAGCAAAACCCTGAAACCTTTTGCGTTTGTTTGCAAAGAAGCAATGAAAGCCGGTCCAGCTGGTCGTCGGGGTGCGGAACTGGGCTGTGGACGCCTGCCCGCCCGGGTGGAGAGCCTGCGCCTCCCCTTCTCCTGCGGCTGGGGAAAGAGGGCCGGCCCCGAGCCTGTCCTGGAGGACTTTTTAGGCCCCGGATACCCCCCACCCCCTCAGCCCACGGCCAGGCACTGCAGCTCCGCAGCAGGAGGGAACCCTCCGGACCTTCGGTTTTCCCGGCTTGCCAACGAGGCTTGCAAACTCAGCTCCTGCCAGGGAAGCAGCACTTTTTGGGACAGGCTCTGAGCAATTGCATGCTTCGGGGAAGGAGCACGGAGGCCTGCAAGCAGGCAGGTAGACGCTGGGCAGCACGAATTAAGCGGCAAGCAAAACCCCGAAACCTTTTGCGTTTGTTTGCAAAGAAGCAGTGAAAGCCAGTCCAGCTGGTTGTCGGGGTGGGAACTGGGCTGCGGACGCCAGGCCTTGCTCACCGGCAACACTGGAGCCTCTCACACCAACCAGTAGGTCTTCCGTGCCGCTCCGCTGGGACCGCCGGCTTCTGGCTGCGTGGCTGCCTCCCTCCGGAGCTGTCTTCCCCCCCGACCATGCGCCACCAGCGTCTTCTCTTTGTAAAGGAACGCAAAAGGTTTTGGGGTTTTGCTCGCCTGCCCGCCCAGGTGGAGACCAGAGTTGGCGGCTCTAACGTCCTACTATCGTTGGCTGCAATCCTATCCACCTGTTTTCTCCAACCGATTGCAAGCCAAGCGCTGCCTGGTTCTGAATTAATAGCTTGGGGGGGGCGCGAAGCCCACTGAACTGCGTGATCCC